GTGCAATAACTTACTTCGGAATTGGGGTAAGAGAAAAATGATTAAAAAACAACAAATTGCGAAGTTCAATTTGTGGTGGAATTGAGAAGTTATTGATTCGTAATTTGGCTTTTGCGAATGCTTTTAGGTTACTGTTAATGAAAGCTTTGAAGTTCGAGATAAAGTACGAGTGTAAAGGTTAGATAGAAAGAAGTTGTCGTATTTCGCAAAAACGTAGCAATTTTAAATACTGCTATTAGTTTTTCCTTTCTTATTGTAGACTATCTTATGGAAATTGTATCAAAACATGCATTTCTTCCTTTTTTATTTCTTTTTCGTGGCCTGCGTCTCAGCTGATTTTCCATCACGTAAATAAGTTTATCTGTTTTACAGTGTACATTTTAGGTTCTCCTTAAACAAACTTTGAAGTATGTGCTTTGATGACACACGGCGTGGAAGTGAACCGATGTGTAATTAGGTGTGTTTATAACGAGTAATGCCGAGGTAGGGGACATAATGAAAGGATTAAAGGCCCGATTATAGCTCTATGATCCGAAATTAAGGGGTTTTTTAAAATCATCAAAGTAATTTATTTTTTCCCACCCACGCATAAATGTTGCTGATACTCACACATAAAAATATTGTAAGTGCGTCATTTTGCTTATTATCAAAGATGAAAATTATATTAACTTTCTAGTACCAAACTAAGGAGAGCTTTAATTGATAACTATATTATGTAGCGTAATACATAAATTAGGTACCTACACATGAATAAACATGATATTATTGTAATCTAAATGCTTGTGCTCAACATACTAGCATGTGTCTCTAGAGGGATTCAAATACGCAAACGGATCTTACTCGTACATATGTATTAATCCCTTACGCGGACTACCAAGCCATCTAGCTGTTATGTGTCAAGTATACATTATGTCCAGCGCTTTCCTGCTACCTTTATGATGTCGTCGGTCCACCTTGTGAGTGGACATCACACGCTGCGTTTTCCGGTACGCTCCTCGGCCGTCAGTTCTGCGTAGTATGTACCCTGCCCATTGCCACTTCAGCTTGCTAATCCGTCGGACTATGTCGCAGATGGACGCAGGCCGCTACCAACCGGGTAACATGGAAAGCATTGGGGGAGGCCTATGTTCAGCAGTGGACGTCCTATGGCTGAGATGATGATGATGATGATGATGATATACATTATGTGTCAAGTATACATTATGTGTAAATCGCTAACCAACTGTCAATATTTCCACGAACAACATATAGACGGCTTCTTCAGCCCTTGCGAATGACACACTTTGATGTCACACAGTGCAATAAAGCGATTAGGATTACGTGTGTAGCGGACAGGTACACACTGCGCATCTAGATAACCTTTATAAGGCAGATGGAATATAGTTCCCACCATATTTTGAAACTTATTCGCCTGTCTTAAGGTCCAAAAACAATGGAAAATTTGACTATACAGGGTGGAAACAATAAGTGATCTCACTCGATTATTTCTAAACTATACAAGATATCCAAAAACTGATTACTGATCCTAAAAGTGCTTCACGAGCTCTATCCAACGGTACCAATTCTGAAAACATTGAATTTTCGGATAGATCCAGTTAATTCTGTAACCTATTACTGATATCGTTCGAAAGAGCTCGTGAAGCACTTTCAGGATCAGTAATCAGTTTTTCGATATCTTACATAGTTTAGAAATAATTGAGTGAGATCACTTATCGTTTCCACTCTGTATATGCTATGACTGTTAAAGGGTTAAGATTCTCGCATCTTATAGAGTTCTAAAAAAGGGCTATTTTGCAACAAAAAAATATGGTTTATGTGACTGTACCTTGTCACGGTGAGAGGAGGGGATGATACAAATTAAATGTTTATGAATGGAGAGTTAGCCACGTGTCACAATTAGAGGATTACGATGAATTTAGGAGAGTGAAAGTGAAAAACTCGGGGACTTTGATCTTGAGTATGTGGCTGAGCCCGAAACTTGGAAATCATTTTATAGAATAGCTACAGTCCTCTTATCATGCGCTATTCAATAAAATCACCTCAATTAACAAGCAGAACAGGAATCCAACTTACTTACCTGACTTTTTGCTAGTTGTGCTACAAAAAGTTGTAGGAGTAGGTAGCCTATAGTATAGAGTCCCTGGGTAAACCCACAATATTACTACTTTTGTACTGTTTTTATGTTATAAATATGGAATTATTAGAATACATGAACATTAAAATCAAAAGAACATCAAACTATTTTTAGTTCAAAAAACCTAACTACAGAGAAACACTTATATGTCAATCGCTCAAAGTAAAAAGCCTGTACTTAGCCGCTTATTGATTTCAAAGTCTTTTTACTAAGTCGTCCTTTGATGTCCAATCCGCTTATGCTAGTAATTATGAGTCCTGGGACATTCTCACACGTCTGGCCATAAGTACAGGGGAACACGATACGGGTGTGCGGCTCAACTTTGAATAGCGAGCTTTGGATCCACCACAATGAAACGAAGATAGAGATACCAAGTGGGGTCGATAAGAATATCGATAGACCTGCAAATAATAAAAAAGTTCATAATTTTTATGATACATGAGCTAAAGAATACTGTGCGTATGTAAAATAAAGTACCGCCACTGCTACGCATCGCGTGCTTTGGCTCTAATGATAAATTTTTGGGAATCGTTCCAAGAGTGCACACTAAATTATTATTCAGGAAATCAACTGCGATACATTTTAGATACCTGTCAATAACAAAATTTTGATTTTTGTTAGTACCTAATAAAAATACTTTCTACAATCTCTAAATTACCTATTTATTACCAAAACAAGTTACTAAGTATTCAGGAATCCAAGTAACAAAATATTGTTACAGCTAATTAAATATTTCACAGATTGGTTGAACAATTTACCTTGTTTATTTTTAGCTGTTGGATGTTATTGATTTTAGATTTTGCTTGTTAAGATTAATATTTTAAACCAAGATAAACGAGCTTTACTAGTATACAGGGGCCTTCTGATCAAGCTGCGTTCCATTTAGGCATCTATGTATACCTCACTTTGAACAAGTTCACGAAGTTTGAATATGTATTTTATAATTTTACAAAGTTAAATTTTGTAACAAATATAAAAATTCATTTTGTTTTTCTTAATTATCATAAAATATTATCAGTTTCAATTATCATCAAAGCTAAGACACATTCACAACCTGCACTACCAATAAAGTATTCCATGTGTTATTTTTGGAAATAATATTGAGTCCAGCTCCACGGTCATATGACAAATCGATATCGATAAAACTATTATTCGGACGTCTCTATTTCTGTGACAATAGAAGGACATGCAATTTCACAATGCGTTCTTCCCTAAAGACATACGATACGGTAGGATACAAGCAGGAAAGATTGGGGAGAGTGGTAACCAGACCACGATGGGTCTAAATATTAAAATATTTATACAATTATATTACTATATGCATATTTGAATAAACAAAATGAACTTGAAATTTGAGCCAACTGCTAAATAGTACAATAAACATTGTGTGTGATAAACCATAAATGAAAAGGGGTATTTTATTACTTCTTTATATTTTAAAGGGCAATGAAGAGACCACTTAACAATTTACTGTATAGTAAACAAATATTATAATACTTGGACATTTTTACACAGCGCTGTCAATTACAAACTAAATAAAGCTTGTACTACAAATAGGTTTAGGTATCTGTAAAAATATCACTTACCTACTCTGAAAATAAAATTGTCAACTCATAACTGGACCCAAATAGTGATTAAAATTCTTTCACACGAGCGCAACAGCGTTCTGAATTTTTAAGAGCTGCCCTACTCCAGTCCACACTAGTTAGTTTTTTCACAAAAAGTGTCCTGATACTAGTTAACTTCATCAAACTGCCCGACACCCCACAAACTGGACAGTTTGCTACCTGGTGCCGCCACCTGCAAAAAAAGAAAACCATACGTTCAACAACGAAAAAATTTGGAAAACTTTATAAAAAGAACGAATGATGTGCAGGCGACGGTATGTCAAAAATTTTTGGCGCAAAATAGCATATATTTAACTATAGGATGCCACAGTGTAAAGCTTGATGTACCGTCACATAAAGAATCTACTAATTAATCCATCTGTAATACAATATCATAATTTAAAATACTGTGAGTTAACGAAAGTTATCAGGGTAGAATTTTAGTTGGAAACATAAATCAAACGAATTTTCTCGATGACAACGTTTGGCAGCAGATTTTATAGTACAATACGGTTTTATAGGTCAGCGATATTGTAAAACCTCGGGTAATTTCTATCATGTGCAATAAGAAAAAGGCAAGGTAGAATCTCGGAATCAAGAAATCATATTTTTACAGACTTACCATTCAACAATCTGCAAATCTGCAATGTTCAACTGGGAACGAAAACATGCTAAAGTTTTATCTTTTAACTAGACCGTATTATTTTATTCGATACTTATACTTTAGTCTAGGCGCAGACCACCGATTTCTAGTTGGCCGATAGTTTGGCCGGATTCTAATTTGCATGAAGAATACATATATCTCCATTCTGATAAATAGCCCGACCCAATCCGCCAACTAAAAATCGGTAGTTTGCGCCTAGGCTTAATGTTGATGTATCCAAGATCCGTATTAGGTTTTTAATTAATTTTTTTTATTAGCTACTACGAGTATTATTGTAAAGGTCGCATACGACCAAACTCCTTGGCCGCATGCCTGGCCGGCGAGAAACTTATTTTTAAATTTTTGTGTTCTTTACGATTGTCGCTTGTTTATCTGCACTTGAATTTCTTAATTGAACAAAACCAAAACCTAACTATTGCAATGTGATTTTTAAACAATAAAATACCATAAAAGCCTTTCAATTATAAAATCTAAAGAAAAAGTATTTCGTTCTGTGATTAGTATTCAACCAATAAGCTACATTAGATATTATTATTAACCTTAAAATTGAAGAGTTTTGAACTCCGTTTTGTAACCTTAGAGCTTTATTTTGTGTATGAAAATAAAAAAAAACTTAATTACATAAATTAATATAAATATTTTTGTCCTAGATGCGGTGCAGCGGTTCATAGAGATGCCTACATACACGGAGGTGAACCCTGGCGAAGACGCGTTGCTCAAGTGCCGGATATCTGACAAGAAAGGCGTCTGTTCATGGCAGAAGGACAATAAGGTATGTACTTATTAGAGTATGCGCACACCGTTGATTTTTAGTTGCCCGATAGTTGTGCCCGATTTTAATTTGTATGAAGAATCGGCCAAATTGAATCGGCGTAGTGTGCGCACTCCCATACATGCCCAATTGCCCATACTGATCAACTGCCCGACTAAACTATCGGCCGACGAAAAATCAACGGTGTGCGTTCTTATAGTATTGATTGGATATTATTATTCTTCTATTTGTATTTAGGTATTTAGCACAACCGGGTCTGGTAGACAGTGAGAATTGAATTTGTTATTATTATACTCGTAGTTCTCCTCAGCAGAACCAAAAACGTTATGAGACATGTAAAGTATCTTTAGATACAAAATTTAAACAATTTGTTACAGCCTTTTTTCATACTACATATTTTATAGACCATGACTTAAATACCTATGCTACATGTTGGAGTAGGCTTTATTTTTTCAAATAATAATTATTATTTATCACAAATTTCGTATCTACAACATTAAATACAGTTTCATGTTACAAATGTACTGAAATAAATAAAGAGAGTAACAATTAAAGCCTTCAAGTCATGTATTAATAATTTACGGTCACCCGACTCTTACAGGAAAGTTTTCAAAGAAACTTAACTTAATTTCAGTTAATACAAAATAACCGTATAATTTTGTTTTCCCTTTACGTTTTCAAACTGGACATAACGTATTATTGACTACAGGGACATTTCCTACAATTATGGGGCATGAATTATTCAGGAGAAAGGATAATGTTGGCATTCCATTTTCTCTTTCTCCGGTGAAACCCCGTGTCAATATTAGTCACTGGTCAATGTCCAGTTTCTATCAGTCAAATCACGTGCGACCTCATTCTCATTAACATCCTTGCGTTTTGCCGCCACTGACTCTACTGCATACAGTTCTGTGAAATGAGCCACCTCATTTTAACTACGTCATACGAGATTTTTTCACAGGAAAGTGTTTGTGAAATGAAATGAAACAAAACTGTGCAACATCACTTCTTAATTTCTCTCAAGAAGTCCGTATGAGGTCTCACTTAAGCGCCACATCTTTACCAAAACTCCAGGATTTTCCTAGAGTGACACGATTGTCATTTAGGGCTAAAGTTTAAGGTCATTAGAAAAAATGAAAACTGAAGACTTACAGCCGGTTCACACATGTCTCCGTTTTACTGTTCCGTTTTATCGTGTACGTTTTTTTTTCGTCGATATATGTATTACTGTATACAGAATACTGTGTCATGTGTGATGTCGCTCAACAACCACATCGACGAAAACAAACGTAAAACGATAAACGATAAAACGGAACAGTAAAACGGAGACATGTGTGAACCGGTCGTTAGCTGTATGGCATGGCATATATTATAAAAACACACTTTTTTTATGAAACTACCGTTATTTAGGCGGCTGATTAACTCTTTTAAAATAGTATCAAAAGTGACTTCACTGGCTGCACTTGCTTGTTTGTGGCCGTATCTTAATGAGCCTAATTCTAGAAGGGTAGACTTAATTGTTCACCCGTTTACCTTTACCTTTGACTAATTAGTCCAATTGGGGAGGCGGTGTGACTGGCATTCGTCATTCGGTTTCGGCACGAACGTGCAAATGCACGAGCTATTTGCGAACATCTTCGCGAAACAACTCACTCAATGTTGTATTTATTTCCTAGTGATTTAAGTAAATCAGATGCGACGTTATTATTAATTTATGTGACAAGCTGCTTATACTATCAGTCGAGCTAAGATGCGCGCTATGATAAAATCTTATTAATGAATTTAGTCGTGTAAAATCGACAAAAGATCGAATGTCGAATCTAAAATCGATCCCTATTAAAAGACAAATAAATATTTCTATTTCTAAAATGATTCGATAACAGTTTATTGTGGCGCCCAACCCTACTGCATAGTAATATTACTTCAATGCCCTATATTACCCACTGCAAAGAAAAAATATTATTATGAGCTTGAAGCATTTTGATTTTTAAATTGCAAACGGATTCAATTAGTTCGAATCCCTAAAATATCTTCTTTTTTTTCAACGAATATTATGGTTTTTGCAAAGTACTCTTATCTACTACTCTACTCTATTCAACAGAATACAAAAGAGTCAGTAAATATGAGTTCAGTATCAGTTCCAGTTCAGTTTTTATTTTTCCATTTATAAACAGATTCAAGGGTTGAATTTAATAGGCACACGGCTTTGAGTGATGCATAAAATAGGTACCTAGGTACGTAAAATCGGAAGTAACTGTGGAAAATTTTGTTCATGTTTTGTTTTTGTGCACCAAATCAATATTTTATTCCATTTCCCCATTTCAATAACTCAGCGACCGCAACGTAACTATATTCAATTTGACCAAAATATTCATCATCATCATTTCAGCCATAGGACGTCCAAAAACATAGGCCTCCCCAATTTATTCCACATCGCCCGGATGCAATGGTAGCGGCCTGCATCCAGCGTTTCTCTTAAAATTGTGACATCATTTTCACTAAGCTACACAAGTTCTACGTAAAAGCCTTAAAAATGATATTACTCGCGTGAAACAGCTTTAAGTCGGCCATTTCAGCTAGGTCATTTTATATTTATAGCTAGCAAAGCATGACTACGTAAGTGTGCGATTATGATTTTAAATTACAAGTTGACTCGCTTCGAATGCAACTAATCAAGGCTTTTTCAGTCCTTCTAAGCGGGTAAAAATAAAAATATTATGCACGGAAGTTTTTGCTCACTTTATGCTTTCTCGGAGTCGGAGCTGCATTAAATTCTATTTCTAGTGAATCGAAGTCTTTAAAATGGTTAAGGGCGATGAATGTACTAAATGTAGCACGGTTGTAAGTCTAATAAAGTTGCTGCTATTGCTTGTTGTTGTAAAGTTTATTTTGCAAGTGCCAAAAATTCAGTAATTTCAGTCAGAAGCTCGTACTGAAATGAAATGATGCTCAAATAAACTCAAGTATAGTATACGAGTATGTCCTGTGATTGGTCTTTAATAAATATGTGTAACAAGAGCTTGAATTGCTCAGATTGAATCAAATAAGCGTCTTGATGTTGAGTCATACGGGTCTAAATTTTAATATTTCCCTTCCCAATTCGATAGGTGTTTATTGAGAAATACACGTCATCATTTAATATCTCTGATTACCTATCTAAAGATGCACTACAAATATTACGCACCCTTCCTTTAACTTGCTCGTACTCCCCTACCTTTTTGAGGGTGGGCCGGAAAATCTTAACATTTTAGGGTTCCGTACCCAAAGGGTAAAAACGGGACCCTATTATTAAGACTCCACTGTCCGTCTATCTGACACCAGACTGATATGACATGAAAGCTGGACAGATACAAATTACTAAAAATAGAATAAAATTAATATTTAGGTTGGATTTTATTTAGATTTTTTGCTCGAGAACCTTCATTTTAGGAACAAACTATGTGTTTACAAGGAACTCGCACTTGACCGTATTTTTTAAACCTCTCCCTATGATTAAGATTTTATCTAAGGCCTTTATCCTTGCCGCTATCCTTTGAAAATATTTTTATACAACTGCATTAAAACCCGAAATCCCTGCATGTCCGGCAGATGTATAACGTTCACAGATAAACTAAACGCTACGTTTAACTGCTTATCAAGAGTTAAAGTTGAACCGGCCGTGTTTAGTATGAACAATCGCCGACGAGATCTGAATCTTAACTAGGGTTAGTCACGACCGTTAACTCGCGGTGGTTTACGAAATGTTAAACGTTTGTTAAGCTTGAGGAGTTAGGAGGACTGGTGTGATCGAGTAGCAGGCGATGGGGAAGACGGGCCTTGATTTGATTTTGATTTTGAATTCATGCTTAGTTTTGACTCGAGCATAATTTGAAATTTGAATTCACACATTACACATTCAAACCCGCACCGCTCGACTACTTCTGCTTTATTTATTTATTTAAAGTTTATTACAAAGGTTATGCTTACAATCTATTCATTACATTTCTTATTTCACTAAACATTAAATGTATGAACTGTATATTCTGCCCTTGGAGTTTGTGATTTCGATATGTCTATTATACTATGTATATCTAAAACATGGTAGTGAAATCGAAACTATTCTGTAATGTAACTTCTTATCAGAACTGAAGATAAAAAATTTCATACCGCTAACTTTAGGAAATGGACTTATAAAATTTAATTTACCATGTTCTGCAGTTCTTCTCCAAAACCTAAACTATCTCTATAAAAATATTGAGATTAGTGGACGTGAAAACGTAGTAATCAGAATCAGAATGTCAGACATTCGCATAAAAATGTTAGTGACCGCCTTCCGTAAGAACCGTCATAAAAACTTTGGTTTAATTGTCACTTTACTAACTATAATTAAAAATTCCACAGTAATAGTACTAATATTCTTCAGCACTAAAAACTATTATTACTACTATTCGAAAATTAGTCCAGTGCTGCCACAATTGTAGGTTGCGCGGCATGCAAATAAACTCAGAAATAAATTATTTTCAGCCAGTAACAATAAAAATAGGTTGTTTTGAAATTTAAGTGGATAAGTTTATTTTTTATTTTTTTAAATTAGTGCAAACCTATTTAGGTTTAAAAACAACATAAGACGGAGTAGGTTACAGTCGCCATTACTTTCTACATTTTCGTAGAAAAATTGTTTCAAGATCAGATAACTCTAATTTTCTAAAAAACAGCTGTTATCTATTCATATTGTATCAATAATAAATCCCTTAAAAAATAAGTTGATTAATAATACGAGTAATTCTACCAAGATGTTCTAAGTATGTAATATCGAAACACAAGATTAATAATTTCTTTCATATCTTGGGAATACGTTGCTTAGACGTAGTTAGACAAATAATCTTACAGAATGGTCTTATGATGAAAATCATAATCTTATGAAAATATTTTCGAACCACACTAAACATAACCCAGCCAATCTTAATCTACTGAAAGCTAATCATATCACATACTCGTAGCCTTGTTCCAAATTGTTTATG